CAACAAATTTAGATTGACAACAAACAATATATGGAGGCTTGTTAAAATACATATACTAAAAAATATATACAAAAATCCCTTTAATTACCATTAATGTAAGCACTAGCGCTAGAAATTCGTCTATGTATAGATGATAATCAAAACATACGCAATCAGGGCATTTGGGTGCCTATACAGATTGTAATGTTTATGTTTATATAAAAAGCCTTATTATATCATCTGAGCTACATTATTATACGCTGTTTGTTCACAAATACAATATATACGTATGTACCATAAGGACAATAAGGCTATGCAGTAGAATTTCACTATAAATATATTTTCTTTTTCATAAACAAACCTACATAATAAATCTTCGGCAAATGGAACACGATGTATTTGAAGAAACTGTTGAGGGAAAGATTTTTGGCAATTTTAGTTTTGATCTATTTCCATATATTGTAAAAAACAAATACGATATAGTCGACATACGAGAGTTGACTTGTAAGTACTTGCACAAAACAATAGATAAATACGATATAGATAAACTTGACAAGATCATAAATAAAATGTCAGAAATATTTGAAGATTATATTATTCAATCAATTGACAGTAACGAGGATACGAATAATAATGACGACATGAATAGATTAGAGGATCAGATAATTGAACATTTGTCATCAGACATATCCAAATTAGCAAATTTATTTGCTGCATTCTCTACTGAAATTCTTCATAGCGACGAATATGGAATGATTGATTTAAGGCCATATAAATTAGCTGGCATTAATACATCAGTATTAAATGCTGGAATATTTTCTAGAGCTGGTAACCAGGTTAAATTATCTCAAATAATAAAGCATTTAAGATTAATTATTGATACTAATTTTATTGAAGAATATAATAAAAGGATTAATAGGGTAACAAACAAAAGCAACATTTATAATGTTATGATCAATTCCATAGCAAGTAACTTGACTCCTTTTGGCAAATATCCCACCCCATATGATAGAACATTGTTAGATGAAAATATATCATTTATTCAATTGCTTTATCGAGATTTAGGTGGTAATGATGTGGTCAAACAGCGTGCATTCGATCGGATTGATCCAGCAATTATACCAAGTTTGACAGAAATGCATAGAAACATTATTAAGTTTATTCCTTTAGATGATAGGATACTTGAATTCAAGTTTGAAAAGGGTAAAGTGAGGATCACGAAACTTTTTGTACACCCACATTGGATTGAAACTTTGTGGAATATTGTATTGCTTGAAATGAGATCAAAATGTGAACCAATAGTTGGTACCTTAATTTGCTTTTATGCTGGCATAATAAAAAGCAAAGAAGATTTCAATCTTGCACATCACCTTGGCATTATTTATAGTGGACCAATGAATTTCGCTCGATTTCATGAGATTATGTCTAAACTTTCTGAAATGTGTCACTATATTACAACCGTTGAAGGCTCAAAGCAGGTTAAAAGTCTCATATCAACTGTGAGAGCATCGCAAGACAACGCTCTTTTACAATTGTACATGATTTCTGGAGAAAATGTGTGGATAAGAATTATTAATATTTCAGCTATAGTTATCTTGTTGCTTACTATCGTACAAACTATTTTATCAATTCTATCTTACAATTTGTCACTAGAACAAAACAAGCATTATTAAAATATTAAAAATAAGTTTTTCAATGAATTATTGTTTTATGCTTGCAGTATGCTTTGTTCTTTAAATCTAGAAAAGATGTAAGATACATAGACTCATTGTCATATACTTTTGAAATAATTCTTTATAACTTTCAAATTCAATGAGAAAATATTTATTCTTTTGAAAGATCCTTTAGAAACTTATCCTTATTTTCTTCCTTCGATTTCAATTCTTAAAATTTAGTCTCAAACACTATTTCTTTTGTTGATTAAAATCATTCACCTTAAATTTTTCTAATTCTTTTCATCTTTTACATACCGTAAAAATATGTAAATTGTGATTCTGTACATTATACGTATTATATCTTTTGATATTAATTAGGAGCATTATTAGCCAGGTATTAATTAGGAGTATTAAAACGTTGATTCTCACTTTCCCGAAGCCCACTTTGCCGAAAAACTATTTACCCGCATCAATATAGGTTTAGATATGATGAAATTCGTCATATGAAATTTGCGCCACTTAAGGATTATAATTACAAATAAAAGTATTATTATTGCTCGATCAGAGACTTTATTTGTTAAAACGAAGATACATATGGGACTAACTAAGGCTCATAATCGTGCCAACGTTATTGGTAAAAACATAATTCGATAAACTTTCGAACCCTAGTTCGACGGTTTCAAGCCTGATCAAAGGTTATCTAACGGAACGTTATACTTCAACAATTACAGGACCAATGCCGCTATTTCGCCCTATAGCACAACACCGACAAAAGGAGCTTAACAGATCAGATAGCAACATACAGGGAATCGAATTTATTATGCGAAGGTACACTTAGTTGAGTCTAGTCTTTACGCTGCTAATGCAGTCTCGGAGCTAATACTATCTGAACTACGGTGCCATTAAGCCTTACAGTGGTCATTACGATATTCCAAGTCACCGAGCCACTTAACGACGGGTTGATAGAGAGGGCCTATAGAATGCCTTTACCAGACGAGCGATGGCGAACAGAAGAATAACAAACCTCCACCCGGAAATATAATTCTTAAATAGCTCTTAACCTACTTCTACTTACTACTCACACACGTAGAGAAGGGCACGCGCGGGATTTTTTTAGATTCCGCGCGGGATTTTTAAAATGATCCCAAAATAAAATTATCTAGCCGGTATTACCATATCATCTGGCTGCAATAACATAATATCTGGCCTGCATTACAGCTGTTTTCATTATTCCTGGGACACCTATAAAAAAATTAGCCGAAAAATTTTTCGGCCGGTAATTTTTTC